TTGTTTGGTCATGTCAACGTCTGTTCGTTTCTATTTATGCAATTGATTCATGTTGATGAGGTTGATTCGATGTTGTGAAGTGAAGTGCGTTAGCATTGCAATGTTCTGCTCTATTCGATTGAGTGTGCGATAGAATGCATTCAGAACAAATACGTTCCATTCGTTTGGTCTCTTTATTGCATTGCATTTGAGATTATGATTGAGAGAAGAGAATCGCCTCGTATAGTATTATAGCAGCACTACGTTGATTGAATCGGTTTTGAGAGAAATATGTTAAAATGCAATCAATTGCTTGCTGAAACCTTTGCAATGCATTTGGTACGTATTGAAATATAGGGGAGAGTGCATTGGTATATGTGGTCCCATGGTGTAGCGGTTAGCACTCAGGACTTTGAATCCTGCGACCCGAGTTCAAATCTCGGTGGGACCTAACATTTTCTATTGCTNTTTTAGGCGAGAATTTTGTATTTTTCAATTCATTCCGTCCTTCTGAATAGCTAAGCATATGCAAAAAACATTCTGATTCAACAGAAACATTGACAAGTGCGTGTTCTTTCTCTGTATTGAAATAAATACGATATGAATGTTTAATGTGAGAAGAAATTTCAATTGCTTTTCATACTTGTTCCGAAATTTTCTCCTTATTCATGGTTCAGATTCAAGCAAAGAATCGTTCCGAAACGTCCTTAAAACATTTTATTTCAGCAAATACAATTATTCAGTTTGTATGGTGCGAATGAGCGAAGACATGAAACATTGATGTTAGCATTCGCTGAGCAACGTCTCTCCACCAACTATCATCAACGAATCGAACAAGCCGGACAGAATATTTCATCAGATTTTATGGCGAATGAGATCATTCGGCTGCAAATGCTCAGAAAAGAACGATCAACCATTAAGGTTTGCCTTTTTTTTTTCAGAGGAATTTCATTTTTCACTATCGCTCAAGTATTATTCACAAGAGTTTTATGGTAACATTTTCCATTGTGTTTGAATAAAATACCAAAAATTTATAAGATGTACATGAATTGATTCGTTCTTAGCTCACTTTAGACAATGTTCTGACTGTCTAATTAGGAACTCCTTGAAGA